ACCCTACTTGACTATTGTGCTTTGGGTATACTCAGAGTTAACAACGTACGCCTTCGAATTCTTACTGGATTTCTTTCCATCGTTTATTCAAATGCTGAGAGTTGCGCGATAACTGGGGTCGAGAAGTGTTGTCGACAAGGACATGGACGCTAGAATGGCTATTTCTGGTTGTCATCAGCCACTTATACCCCCAACGCCTGACGTGGCAGACTAGAGGTCTGAATCCGAGTCAGTTAATTCCCTAGCAGGGTCTTCAATCTGCACTACGGACTCATGTCCTGTCAGCTAGTGAAGAGACTAAAAATGAGGGCAGAGTGGGAAGCATACAAGGAAAAGTTTATTCTTATAAACATAATATGACATTTGCGGAAATTAATATGGCGTCTAAAAATATTGCTCTCCAATCAGTTATTGAACACTCACCTTCAGAAAATGGTCCAAACCCTCGTTGCTATGTTTAAAGAATTTGCTGTAATTTTTCCTGAATCTTCCCGCAGGCTTGATTTGCGGGAGACCTACTGAAAAACGTGTTAATTGCCGATTCCTCTAGCTGGGACCCAAAACTGCCCATGCTGAGTAGCTATTCATTCGTTATTTATCAGCAAGCAGAAATTATTCGACGGTCTGGACAGTGAGTCTGCGTTTTTAGCTGAAAATACTGATTTTCCTAGTTCCTGTCACGAATCCCTTGATGGTGACGGCTTACTGCAAACTGACCTAATAAAACATCGATAATCGCAAGGTCACTCGCCACATACCTTAACTGCCTTTCATTCTCACATCGAAAACATCAGTAGCTGGATATGTTCGGTTAAGACGCTGTATTGTGCACCAAGACGCCCGGATTTTTCAATGCAATGGTTCTCAGAGTATTCAGATTTGTCCCATTGTCAAGATTTTTTTGCAAGAAAGACCATGTTCTCTAGAGTACGAGATGTAGTACTTTCAAGACGTGCGGAAAAGTGTGAGGATAAATGTATATCAACTGGGAAAGCGGAGCGGTCTGACTGAAGCTAACTCTTCCACACCAGCTGTATTGGCCGATATCAAGATCCTTGGCAATCTCAAATGAAAGTTGCCTGTAGGAGTTCCTTGGATTACAAGAAATATCCTATGTTCAGTTGACCCAATTTTTAAAAAACTCGCGGCCTCGGTGGGAGTCGAACGAACACAGCAGGGATGGCTTTTGCGCAGCCAACACTCTACCACTGAGCTACGAGGCTCAATGTGAACCGTGAATTTAATCACATTTGGGTCGATTTAACCGTCCAACCTACTGATTGTATGGAATCCACCATTGCAGATACAGTAAGCTGACTGCCCAGGTAGGATTTCCTAAGCAATGGTAGAGCGTTGGCTGCGCAAAATCCTTCTCCGGTTGTGTGGGTTCGACTCCCACCGAGGCAGCGAATATTTCACAATTGGGTCAACTGAATTATTTAAATCTGCCAACCCCCCCTCCTAATAATATCCTTATGTGTTTTGTCCAATAACATTTAGTAAAGAGGCGCCATACCACGTTTAACCTTTCGTAAAGATGTCACTTAGAAGTGTTCAGTACAAGCGTGTTCCAAATAACCTTCGGGTAAATTTGTCGCGTGTGGCCTTCCTAGTATGTAGACTGTTTGGATAGTAACATTTTTAGCGGTGGCAAGATAATTCGTGGAAAGAGAGGAGTTTTCTAGTCGGCATACTAGTGTCTTCATTCGACTGTGCGACTTTTTACACAAGGTGGGCAAAGCGCCAGATCTCACCAATCGGTCGGTCGGCAGCTTATACAACAGACTCCACAGACTGTTTACTTCGCTGGTATTTTGCGCTGAAGACCACTTTATTGTCCGCCATCTACAGACGCGTCGGTTGGTTGCAATTCCAACTGCATCCTCTCATTGGAAGCCACAGAGAAGCGGCCTTCTTTAAGTATTGCTCTTCACGGTCTGGTAGGAATTCAAGTTTATTCTTGGATATTAGGCACACCTGGAACCCACTTAAAAGCTAAGATGCGTTATTCCGCGCCATGGGAATCAGTATTAGGGGGGGCTACTACAACAAAGAGGTACCAGTAGCTGGTACAGTGTCTATTATTGCTATGAAATAACCGCGTACTACTCGCGTCTGAAGGCAACGGCATGGATTGTCAGAAAAGCATGGCTCCATATGCCTAGTACAGTTATTAGCTAGTTACTTACAGAGGAAGCTGAGATGTAATCGAAAGGTTGGCGTGAAATACGCTCCAACTCCCAACTAGTTTCAGGTATCAGTACCACTCCCTATTTGCTAAACTGAATGTCAAATGATTAAACAGAGAAGACTGGCAGGTAGTGATAGGCTGATTTGGAATATACAAAAAAA